TGTCACTATGATCACCCACTCAGATGAATTCTCAAATTGTCCCAACATACCCAGGTTTTGACCCCCGCTAAGGATCTCACTGATTGATACATCAAAGACAGTCCAATCCGACACCTAGTGCAGTATCATAATCGAGTTTAGGGGTCGGTTGTAACTTTCTAGTTTTGCCCATTAATCTCAATGGTTCAGGGCAATACTGGAAATCTGGTCTGGTTCAAAGATTCAATTAATCATACAACGCATGTGCCTTGGGTCTCACCCTGGTGGCTGAGACAGGCCACCCCAACCGACTTGGTGGCACATCAATGTCAGCCTTATCAAGATAGGTCTCCCCAGACCGACCCACTGGCTGTAAACATTCTAAACTAACACGAGTTTCATTAAGTGTCTAGTTTAAGGGTATTACACAGAAACACACCACAGGAACATGAATCAAATATGTACTTTATTCATTTACAATAAACTCATAATGTACATCATTCTGATTGAAGCTAAGGGCATACAAAAATTGTCTAACAGACCGGATAGTTGTACCGGAAAACCCGAGAACCAGTCAGGTGACCAGTTTCATTTTACCCCAGAACCGTTATTTCCCCAAAAACTGTTGATTTGGTTAGTAAATTGCTGACTCGGGCAGTCGAACCGTTCAATCTATTCAACGGTTTGGCCGGTTTTTTATTTTTTTTAGTTTTTTTTGTCAAAAGGGGTCGTCCATTCAATTCGAACAGTTGGACCGTTCGGCCCAGGAAACAAACCCTTGACTGATTCGTTGTCTGGTTCAATTTTAAAAACCTTAGTGTATATACAAATAATGTCAATTCTATGAAACAATAGTATCAAAGTCATATATCCAAGTTTTAGTATGCATTTATATCACACATGTATAAGTTAAAAATAATTAATTTTTAGTTTTTCTATCATTTTAAACATAATAAGATGGATACAAGTTAAATCTGATATGTAAGGTTTGATAACACATGTGGTTGGATCCGATCTGATTATAGCCTTATCTTATAAGACTACATGATGATATCCAATTGTCGGAATTCAAGTTATTTGAACTCGATTCATTTATAATTGGATCAAATATGGATCAACCCTCGTCCAAATATGGATCAAATATGAATTGCGCGTCTATGTGGCACATATGATAAACCCTTCTCCATTAGAAATTTCAAAATGTCATAGGAGTGGCCAATTTCCTTTGTTCTCTTCTTTATTAACTTGTGATAAGCCGGCTAGTGGATTTGTGGAAGTGGAACGTAAGGTTGTATTTGGAAACGATGCAAATAAGTGTGAATGCAAATATGTAAAGTGTAAAATGGTCCATATAAATTACAAAGTTGGGTTAGTTTTGCATTGACAAATTTATCTTCTTACCAAATAGATTTTTAGCTGTAATGGATGCAAATACGAATTTCAATAAAGCATATGCCTTTTTTTATCAAAAGCACACTTGAATGCAAATTTATTTCTTTTTTATTGATGTACTTTTACATGTTATTATCAATGTAAATATGCATTGAAAAATGCTTTTTCTGTCATTCGTCAATGCATAAATGTAATGTTGCCAAACACAAGCAAAAGTGAACCAAAGTGCAAATTTACCCTGAATCGGGATTTATACTCCATTTGCATCGCTTCCAAACGCAGCCTAAACTATTTGATTGAAGAATGTGAGAAAGATTTAGTAGTTTTAGTAAAATGACAAAAATGATATAAGCTCATGACACGTGCACTTTCGATTATTTTGATTGAAACGAATTTTCATTAACATAAAATTATTAAAAGAAAAATAGGAATACAAATGATCGTGATAACCAACATCAACACATATGTACAAAATAATAACTTAAAATCCCTAGTATATATATAATATATAATATATAATATATAATTATTATATTATAATTACAATCTATAGCTATACTACTTTAAAAAGCACCAATAGTCTCATAATATTTTTAAAATTTTTTATGACAAAATTTATCTTTTTATTTTAAATTTATTGATATAAAAATAAGGGCAAATCGCGCAATCAGTTATTGATAATAAATGAATTGAAAAAAGGGAATTTTAAGACATCTGTCGCCCTTTATTTAACTTCTAGTTGAATGCCATTTGAGAGTGAAAAAATTAATATTGTGTGATTGCTTTTAAAAACAAGGGCAATCTTCAGGCAGCTCCCCCTCATAAATCGAAATCTTGACTGAGGACGTACGGACGAAACCCATGCCACCCCCGCTCAACATATCCGAAATTTGTTTCGGCTCCTCCCCCCCACGTCATAGTGTTATACCCATTATACCCCTCCACCCCTAACACCATTTTCATTGTCTTCTTCCTCATTTTGAATTCGAACCTACTCACCGTTTCTTAGAGTCGTTAATCACCAGATCACCGGAGCTCTACAAAAAGCTACAGCGTCTTCTCATCGTCTTCTTCCTCACATCAGATCACCAGAGCTAATTTCTCAGAGTTGTTTCTTCTCCGGGGCTTCATCTCCCTCATCTTCTTCCTCATTTTGAACCTATGACATCCTCACCGTTTCTCAGAACCATGAATCACTAGATCACTGGAGCTCTACAGAAAGTGTCTTCTCATCGTCTTCTTCCTCACACCGGATCACCAGAGGTAATTTCTCAGAGTTGTTTCTTCTCTGGAGCTTCATCTCCCTCACTACCAGAGCTACAACGTCTTCCCCATTTCAAAACTACAACTTCTTCCCCATTTTTCAAGCTATTAATCACAAGAGCTTCATCTCTCATCACTGGATCTATAATGTTTTCCCCATTTCAAATTTTCTCATAGCCGTTTATAACCAAAGCTTCATCTCTCATCATTGGAGCTTCATTTCTTACTCATCACCGGAGCTTCATCTCACCGTTTCATCATCGGAGCTTCATTTCTACTTGTGTTCACCGTTTCATTACTGGAGCTTCATCTCTATCTATGTTCGTTGTTTTATCACCGGCCTTCCTTATTTAAGACGTTGAAACAATCTCAAATCCCCTTGTGTTCACCGGTCACCGGCCGGGGATGACACTCAATGTTCACCATTCAGAGGAAGCTAGAGCATCGGTTTACTGTTCACCGTCCGTCCGAGGCACCTTTTGTTGACCATTAACAGGATGCTCGAAGCTGGTTTTAACGGCCGTTGGAAGGTTTCTCAAGCCCTTGCATTCAACTGCTATGGAGGTGGTTCCCTCGTGTTTCCGGCATGACCCCTGTGTTTCCGGTTTATTCTGGTTTGGCCACCCATGCATTTGTTGACGCTGCTTGACCACAAGTAATTTACTTTGTTACATTTTTTCCTTAATTGATTGTCGTAAGGACCTCTATAAATTAATATTTGAATGTTGCTTAGTTCAGCACTAATGAAAATGAAGTGTTTTAATGTTGATTGAGATATGGATGTCGTTACCATGGGTTATTGAACATTTGTAGGTATGAATAGCCAACGGAGTGTCGAGAATCAATCTCCGAGTAGTTTGCAGTATGATACTAAGTATTGCTATTTTAAATGAAAATGCATCCTTTGAATTTCTACAACTCGGAATAACCTGCAAAAGTTGTTTAATAGCTATCGATTAATATCCAAGGTAATATTTTTAGTGGGATGATATTATTTGTTAGCATTGATATAAGGCATGTATATTGCTAATGACATGTGTTGCACTTGCAGGAGCAGGTGCTGGATAGCCCAACGACTGAAAACGATTCTATTGGCAGTTGCAAATTTTTTGAGTAGACGATTCCTTAAGGTTGGTCGGATGAGGTTACATCAGGAAATAGTCATGGTGATGTTCTAGAATGCCTTGAAAATGTGGAGAGAGAAGTCGATGTTTGCATAAGGCAGATTGAGTCTATGAAATCAGTCAATGAGTTAGCTATGTTTTAATTCTTTTTGTTATTATTCTCCTTACATTAGTCTTTTAGAAATAGTTTATCATTATTGGTGAATACGTAGGTTCAGTGTTTTTAATATTGTGTTAAAAGACTCTCCCCCCTTTCATTTTCATGTTGGTAAACTATTTTGGTGTCTTATTGTAGTTATTTTGACTTTTAAATATAAGTATATAAACAAAAATTGCTTAGAAGATATTTTTTTGTTGACAAAGAAATATTTGTAAATTCATCGAAGATACCTTCCGGCATGAGGCAGAGAAGCCCACGCTCACGAAGAAGGCCGATGAAGTGACCTCTAGGTGATTCTGCCATTTCTGAGAAGCGGTCCAGGAGGGGGTGCGGGGGTAGACGGGTGACGGAACCACCTCCACGAGGTGAGGAGAGGTCTCTTGGACGTCCCCAAAGGAGGCGGAGATGCCCCAAGCCAATGGGGAAGGCCAACGGTGGGAAATGGCGCTTTTGCAAAACCACCGCTTCCCATCGTCGGCCCGGGGCGTCGTGCCGATGGGCGATTGGAAGGTGTCGGGATGCTTGATGGGTGAGTGGAAGTAGGAGGGAGTGGATTTGGTGGCCATCGAACCCCTCCGCACCTACCGAAGTGGCCTCCGAGTGATTCTACCATTTCTGAGAAGTAGTCCCGGAGGGAGGTGCGGGGGTAGACAGGTGGCAGAATAACCTCCACGGGGTGAGGAGAGGTCTCTTGGACGTCCCCAGAGGAGGCAGAGATATCCCAAGCCAACGGGGAAGGCCGACGGTGGGAAACGATGCTTTTGCAGAACCACCGTTTCTGACTGTCAGCCCAGGCCATTAGGTCGATGGGAGATCGGAAGGTGTCGGGATTCTCAGTAGGTGAGTGAAAGTAGGAGGGAGTAGGTTTGGTGGCCATCGAACCCCTCCGCACCCGCTGAAGCGGCCTCTTGGTGATTCTGTCATTTCTGAGAAGTAGTCCCGGAGGGGGGTGCGGGGATAGACAGGCAGCGGAACCACCTCCACGGGGTGGGGAGAGGTCTCTTGGACGTCCCCAGAGGAGGCAGTGATGCCCCAGGCCAACAAGAAAGGCCGACGGTGGGAAACAGTGCTTTTGCAAAACCTTTGTTTCCCATCGTCGACCTGGGCCGGCGGGTGATCGGAAGGTGTCAAGGTGAGGGCGCACGATAGGCTCCGTGAGGCCTGCCAAGCCCAGCCTAGCATGCGCCCTGATTGGTCTAGCGTGAGGTGCTGAGACCGACTCTGCCTGTGACTTGATTGGTTCCGCTATGTGCTTCGCCGCCAGATGCGTGTAGGCTCGCCATTGGCCTAGCCGGATGCGCCTACATTAGAAAGAATCAATGCATATGTTGTTTCACATTGAACAATACTTTTGAGTTAAGACTAATACATTATGGAGTTGAAATGCGTAGGAATTCATGGATCGGCAATTGATGAACATGAAAGATTCTTCTTTCTTTGAACAATTTCTTTGTTTTAGACCTGCTCAAACCGATAAAGAAAAGAAAAATCAGCATAATAAAAGCAAAAGATGTATGACCCTTCGACATAAAAAGTTTTGCTTAAAAAGCAGTTCTATATAGAATTCACAAAACATATGCATCGTTATATTAATTTTTGGCACACCCAATGTCTTAAATTTTGTTTGGCCCGGTGACATAGGGTTTAATTATTCTTCAAAGATTGGTACAGATTGCAAATTATATATGTATGTGTTGCAGAGCCAAGATGTCTCTTGATTCTGAATGTATATTGAGGTAAAAGTGTGGATGCAGGGAAGTAGGACCATAACCAGTTTGGACAACATAATATGCTAATTATTGATCAAAGTCATACATCTAATTTATGACCAGTCTAATGAGCTCCACCCACACCCTAAACAAGCATCTTGAATCATTTGATTTATGCATCATTTATAGGGCTTTTCAGGTTTTGTACTCTTATTTATAGACTCCAAAGTTCAGCATTACTTTTTATCTCGTTCAATTATTTCCTTTAAAATCACAAATTCTAATAAAAAAGAAATAAAGCAATTATGAATTTTAAATGGTTTTTTACCCAATATATTTTAGGTGGGATACATTGAATGCTTGATCTCTTCGTCTTAATGTAGGCCAGATGGAAAGTTAGGGGTCCAGACCGGTTTGGGTATTGTGTGCACGTGCTTTGCACATGGCAATTCTAGATGATGTATCCAATTTTTTTTTATAAAATTCATATATTTTTGTTTTTATGTTTTATGTTTTTTATTATTAATTGAATGTTGATTGCAAAATCCAAATCTGATTATGTAAACACCTCATATTAGGCTGCAAAGTTTTAGGTACCATTGACAGGCCTAACTGCTTGGTTAGACTCTTCCTTTTGTAATGTTTTATGTTTGCAGTGTAAGCCAGATGGCAAGTTAGGGGCCCAGGCTGGTTTGGGTATTGTGTGCACAAACCCAAGCTTTTGCCATATGTGAGAAATAGGGGATGTACTGTGTACTATATTCTTGTTATGTATTGTAGAATAATGGTTTGATCATTTGAAGCCAATATTTCATTCAAGAACTTATTGAATGAATTGAGTACTCGATTGCAAATTCCACCTCCAAGAATGATTGTTAAAGATATTGGTAAAGACTTTAGAACTACAAATATTATTAGACTTGAAGAAGAAAAATTGAGATTGTGGAAAATTAACACCTAATAAGAAAGGATTAGAACAAAATAAATCTTTGAAAGCATTGAAGAAAATAATTTATTTCTTCAACATAAAAATTTTTTATGTCAATTATGAGTAATTAGAGAGCTATTGCTGGAATTGTAAATAATTTGAAAATCATGTTGAAGTACTAAGGGTTGAGATTTCAAACCTAAAATATAGGCTTTTTCCACTTAAAATGGAAGAAGTGATTCAGGTGGAAGACGATCTTGAGAAAGAAGACTATTTGGTTGGTGGCAATTAGAAAATTTTTGGACTATTGACACAAATTAATAATACACAGTGTCTTTTTTATCAATGTCTTAGTGTCTTGTGGTCTTGGTTTTAGTGTTCCATAAAGTTATGTCTATGTTTGTTTTTGATGGAGGTGGTGGTTCTCAAAGCGAACTGTCTGATTTTGTAAGTAATTACTTTAGTGTTTTATGTGGTAACTTTATTTTGCTTAATGAAAGTTGAAGTTTGGACTGATGTCATGAAATGGCTAATTTGTAAGCCCCTTTTTTTCTATAAAAAGACCTTTCTTAAGGTCCTATTACCTTTTGACTAAAGAATCATAGCCATATTAGTTTAATGTTTACTTTTAATGCAATTACAGTAAATGGATCAAGAATTACCTTCTTATTGTCCTATTACAATTTTAGTATGCTAATAAATTGATCAAGAATTGACCTATAAATGAATATGAAAGCAACCACACTAAAAAGGTCAAAGTTAGACATGTTTATCGGAAAGAATTGGGAAAGGTTACGGTGAAAGGAAACACAAATAGTACATATCTCAGCAACAACATGGACAAAAGATGTCGATTCATTTAAGGACAAAAGAATGAAAAAGAATGAAGACAAATGTGAACCTGCAAAAGTGAAATGGTATTGCAAATTAGTCAAGACAAAATTTATCTCAAAAGACATTATACAAGTATTCTCACTTCAGTTCTACACAATTTCCATGGCATTATGCAAGTAAGACTACATGCATTTAAAGTTTATTTTTAATTGTGTTGTTACTTTTATTAATTTTCAATTTCTATCTTAAACATGACATATTTATAATATCTATAAAAACGCGAATGAGGGTCTTGGCTTCTGGAATTTTCATTGGATAGCTTTAACCCTATATCTTGAGGTATTTGGAGGGCATTCTTATAATTATTATTTGATAAAATACTTTACATTAATTGACCTACAATTAAAGACTGGCTTTTGGTTTTAGCTAATAAATAACCAACTAAAGATAATGGGAAGGTAATGGTATAACTTCTGGCCTTACTTTATGGAGAGGTAATGGTATAACTTGAGGTCTTTGGCTAGAAAATATGTGTGGGAGGTTGACTTTGAATTCTACTCTGGATGAAGAATTAAACACAACAAAGCTCAAATTGCAACCGGCTAAAGATGCAGAAATTAAGGATGGTTCTAATAACCCAACTAATATCTCAAGAGAGATCCAAGAATTAAATTTGGAGGCTGAAAAGTTTAAGGATCAATTATATCAAAATGATCAATTAATACTTTGAAAAAAACAATGGCTCTACAGCTTATAAATAAAATTTTCTATATTCACTTTGTACTAGCAAAGGCATGTCCATCGCTAGATACCTGCCAAGCGAACCTGGTAGGGCATCTCTGAAGACAATAGAAAAGAAATCACTTCTATATAAATAATATAGAAGATCACATCTAAGGGTGATCATAGGACCACAACTGTGAAATATCTTTTACTTAAGGGAAGGAGTCATAATTTGTCTTTACTTCGAGAAACTAAAAAAAGATATGAAATAAAAAAGAACATAAATAAGTTCAATTAATCCACATCTCCCACATTTGATTTTTGTGTCATTTAAATAAGCTACAACTGGGTGGCCTGATACCTTTGCAAGTTGTAATTGGCGAAGTGTTGTATATTTAGATGATCAAGACCAATTATTTCATGGGACCCAGCTAGAAAAAAAAAAAAACCCACAAAATCGGATGATCAGATGATTTATAGCATCTGGTTTTGGAGTTATTTTTTGAACTTATCAAAAGTTATAATAAAACTTCACTCCATCCAAATGTATAGAAGACATATAGTTGTTGTCATATTCATTCTCCATAGAACAACCCATTGCATAATCAGTTAATATTTTAAATAGGATAGGAAGCAAATTATAGGGCACTGAAACCAAGCACCTAGCCTATCTGGAGTAAAAATTATTTTAAGATTTCTCATTCCCACTTCTTCCAAGATTGGCCTAATAGATACATATCAATGTAGGGCTAGATGTGGAGGAAACCATAGGTTCTGCATTGAAAACATGGAAAATAAATATTCCAATAAATAAAATAACTAAAATAACTCAAGGCTTAAATAATTTTTGTGGTCTTATCTATATATCTGTATCTGTCTAATTAATTA